TCTGAAGGAAGGAGAGAACTTCCACTTTGACCATGGCCTTGTCTAAATATGATCCGAGTCGGTGCATTCAGGGGGCTTCCATAGCCTTGGCAGCTCATGACAAGAGCCTAGGGTGATTACTGATGCCATAAACAAGAGTGTCAATTTGTTAAGTCAACAACAGGAGTCACTGTGCACTTACTCCTCATGTAGGATCTTTGTCCTTAGTGTGCTGTACATTGAGATTTAATGCTATAACTAGTACTCAAACAGTATTTTTCACTTTATATTTCTGTGTGGGAGCAAACTGTTGAAATCTTTACTTAATGTATGCTAAACTGATCTTCTGTATATAAAGAGAATTGAAAAATGAATCTTGATGTGAATGGAAGGGGAGAGGGAGTGGATAAGGGGAGGGTTGCGGGTTGGAGGGACGTTATGGGGGGGAAGCCATTGTAATCCATATTCTGTACTTTGGAAATTTATATTCATTAAATAAAAGTTTAAAAAAAATGAAAAAAAAAAAGAAGTCTCTTATATCTTAGGGTTTTTTTTTTTTTTCACTTTTTAAAATTTCTTTAATCTTCTTGAAAGCCAGAGAGAGAGAGAGAATATCAAGATCTTCCTACTGCTTCACTCCTGAAATGCCATGTACAACAGCTTGGGCTGGACTAGGCTGAAGCCAGGATCCCAGAACTCAATCTGGGTCTCCCTCATGTGGGTAGCATGAGCCCAAGCACTTTAGCCATCACCAGCTGCCTCCCAGTATCTGAACAAAGGAAGATGGAGTCAGGAGTTAGAACTGGACATTGAACCCAGTCAGATGTGGGATGTGAATGTTTTAATCAGTCTTGTTAGCCAAATACTTGCTCCTTTATTCCAGACGTAGGCAATTTAGTCTTCCCTCTTTTGTCTTAGTCAACCTAGGTAAAGGTTTACCAATTTAGTTGACCTTTTGAAAATAATTGTTGAAGGAGAGAATGTTCCAACATGGGAAGCAGTCCACATGGTAGACTTCATAGAATGACAATCATTTTAAGTAGCACTCTGACCTCAGAATCAGTCCTTAAGGCTTCCTAGACTAGCTGAAAAGCCCATGAGAGCATTTCAGGCATGGAAAGCCAAGACACCACATTCTGCTTGAAGGATCTCTGTGAGTGAGACCCCAGTGGAAAGAAGTGGCTGGAGCCAGCGTTGTGGTGCAGTGGGTTAACACCCTGGCCTGAAGCATTGGTATCCCATATAGGCGCCGGTTCAAGTCCCAGCTGCTCCTCTTACAATCCAACTCTCTGCTATGGTTTGAGAAAGCAGTAGAAGATGGCCCAAGTCCTTGGGCCCTGCACCCACGTGGGAGACCTGGGGGAGACTTCTGGCTCCCAGCTTCAGATCAGCACAGCTCCGGCCATTGCGGCCATCTGGGGAGTGAGCCATTGGATGGAAGACCTCTCTCTCTCTCTGCCTCTCCTTCCCTCTCTGTGTAACTGTGACTTTCAAGGAAAATAAATAAAAAATCTAAGAAGGAGAGAAGAGGAGAGGGGAGGGGAGGGGAGGGGAGGGGAGGGGAGGGGAGGGGAGGAAGGAAGGAAGGAAGGAAGGAGCCATCAAAGAAGGATGTACTTTTCTCTAAAGGGAGGAAAGAACTTCCACTTTGCTTGTGGCCTTGTCCTAATACTGACGGAGTTTGTGGACTCAATAGGCTTCCATAGCCTAGGCAGCTCACATCAAGAGCCTTGGGTGGTCACTGATGTAATACATAGAGTGGTAATTGTTAAATTAACAACAAGAGGCACTGTGTACTAACTCCCCATGCAGGACCTCTGTCTTCAATGAGCCGTATTATGAGAGTTAACGGTAAAACTAGTTCTCAGCGTGTGTGTGTGTGTGTGTGTGCGCGCAAATTGCTGAAATCTTTACTTAGTATACAGTTGGTCTTATGTGTACAAAGTTAATTGAAAGTGAATCTTAAGGGTAACTAGGACTGGCAAGGGGAGAGGGAGGAGGAGGAGGGGTGGGAGGACAGGTATAGTGGGAAGAATAACTATATTCCTAAAATTGTAATTATGAAATTTGTACTTCTTAAAAAATAAGAAAAAAAAGACTGATAGTAATGATTTTACTCTCAATAATAATATAATAATTTTGGTTTCACTGCTTTTCTCTACTGTTTCCCTGATTTGTATTTCACTGCTGTTTTGCTCTGATTTTTCATATTTCTTTTTATGTTACTTACTTCATGTTTGCATCCCAAGTAGAAACTTCAGACCATTGGTTGAACATCCTTATTCCTTCATAACTGCTTAAGACAAGTTTTCCTCAATTCACTGTGTAGCTGCACTCAAAATTCTGATTATGTTGTGTTCTAGCAGACAGTATTTGGAGGTTTTCACCCCCCTCTCCCAGACCAAGTCCACTGTTTCAGCAGCAGAGCTGTGTTTATTCTAGCCAAGCGCAGACTGGTAAACTGCTGTTCTCCTTAACAAAGCTAGTAGGGTGAGGAGGAGGGAAGGACGGCAACTGGCTCCCCAAGACGCTGCAGGACCCACCTTTTCTGCTCCTCACCATTCTCCCAGGTGTGTGCTGGCACACCACAGACCTCAGCTCACAGCTCCCCAGTGACTAACAACGCTGGGCATCCTTCCAGGCACCTATTACTCCTGGATCTTCCTTAGCAAAATGTCTATCAAACCTTCTGCCTGTTTTCAACTGAGCAGTTTCTTTCCTTATTGTTTAAGTTGTAAAAGGCTGCAGGCAAGAAGGCCTCAGACTCCATTATTCTTAGCCAGAACTGTAGCCATGTTTTAGGAATAAATGCTTCTCAATTTATTGTTAGATTTCCCACAACCCGAAATGGTAATTTTGGTCATTTTGTCCAATTTGATGCTTACTTTGTGCAGAGAAGTCAGCAACCATTACACACACCATCATGATTATTTGTGGCACAAAAGTTTGAAAGAACAGAAAACCACTGCCCTACATACTTTGCTTTTTAATTTATTGATTTTATTTACTTGAAAAGCAAAGAGAGAGAAAAAAAAGACAGATACAGTTCTTCTATCTAATAGTTCATGCCCCATATGCCCACAAAAGCCACGGTTGAATCCAGGAGCCTAGAACTTAATCCAGAGTTCCCATGCAGGTGCCAGGCCATTACCTGCTGCTTCTCAGAGTGCACATTAGTAGGAAGCTAGAGTCCATGTGACACTCCAACATGAGATGCAGGCAACCCAAGCAGCACCTGAACCACGAGGTCTAATGCTTATCTGATACTTTGCTTTCAATAAACGGATATATTAGTCATCCCCTTCTAAATATGTGATTTCTCAATGACCTTCCCTAATTAAAAACAGAGGGAGTGTGGCCCAAGTAACCTTACACTGAGACTGTTTCCAAATGCCCACTCTATCTCTAACTCCTCAGGAATCTTAGATTTTACTTCTGTCACTATAAGCTTCTTTGTCAACAAGAACAAACACACTGTCTGGATTGCTGCCCACACATTACATGTAAGAGGCCCTGTCCAACTCATCAAACTCTCCAAAAAGACTTGGGATTTGGAAGACACGGCACTCTCTGCTGGGGAGGACAGGCTTTAAACTTGTTTTATGATTTTGGAAAGGTTTAACATTTATTAAATGAATTAAAGAAATCAAGAGTTTTAAAGTGTAGGAAGCAACAAATGCTCTTTTACTTTTGAATGATCTTCAAAGGACTTCTGCTGGAAGATTAGATTCTTTTCCTTCTTTCTTTTCTCCTTATCATTTTAATTACTAATGGATTCTTCCATAAGTGAAAAGGGATGCTATATAAATCTAAAACTTGTCACAATAACTTTGATAAATTACTGCCCTTATCCAGCAAAAATTTTAATTACTTTTCCTTTCCTATGAGTGAAAGATCACAAAATAAGGCAAGAGACACAAGGACAGAGACCAGCTGGTCTTTCTAAGCCATCAGCACACAACACACAGGCATACCTCTTGAGGTGTTGCAGGAGGGAGAAGTCCCTTCTGACTGCTACCAGAAAGGAGACTTCTCACACATTTCTTTTTACCAAAGGGCTATTTTTATCCTCTCTTACAAAGATACAGAAATTGATTCTGCCTTTCCTGATACTGCAGACACTATCTTTGCCTCGTTCAGTTGTTTAACAATGCTATTTCTGTCATGATCAATTTTCTATGTTGCTATGACAGCATTTGCTACTGGTTACTAAACAGCATGAACACTGTATTTTCAATATAAAGAAGAGTACTTAAAAGACATGTGCATTTATACACTGCAGATTTCAAGAAGCTTTCAAGTTCTTGAAAGAGTACATTAGACGGGTGAGAATCTGTGGTTATTTTCAGCTTACATATGAATATATCTGCTATTATCTTTGGAATGGAAGAAAATTCACTGACCTGATTCTTAAGACTACTAAAAATAATACAGGACAATTCCCTTCTCTAACAGCAAATGCAGTACAGGGAATCTATAAGCAGTAACCATCATTTGTACTTCTTTTCCATACATTGAGGCATTATATTGAAATTTAATAAATTTTAGTAACTCAGTTTAATAGCAACCAAAGAAGAGAAAACTCTGAAAAAGACAGCCAATGGACAATGTAAAAACTGAGAACACTGTAGAAATTACATAGACTTGGTGGCCCGAAGGATAACATTTGGTCAGCCCTATATATTTCTAGATAGCATTTCATAATTTTCAAATGCCATCGATTTAATTCACTGCGCATAAAGCAGAATGGCTCTTTCCTGGCCCCATGTGCAAGAATACTGGTCAAATACCATTTGGTTTTCTAGATGCTTTTGCTGCTTATCTTCAGGATGTAAATGGTTTAGCACAAACATCAAGAAGGACAGAAGGTCTGTTAGGAATGCACTCCCTCCACCCTGCCCCAAGGCTGTCAACAGAGTTCCTCAGACTATTTCCAGAGCATGATGTTCAGAGAAAGTCAAATCCCTAGAACGACATTTCCCTCTGTCTCCCTCACGTGGGGATAAAAGCCACTTTCTCACCTGATGGAAGAGAGGGCTGTGGGTGGCGGGGATGCCCAGGCCACTGAAGCACATTCCCAGGACCATGTCGTCAGGAGCATCGATGCTGTAGCACCTGCACTTGCTGGCGAGAAGTCTCCTGACGGCTTCTCTGCTGAAGACCATTCTGGTGGGAGCCAGAGCAGACAGACACGGGTCAGGGCAGCTCTGCAGAGAACGTACATCTGAACAAAGAACTACAGGTCAGAGGCCACGTTGCTGACAAAAAGAGGAGGCCCTCAGTGGACTTGTATGTTTCACAGGTAGTCTTGAGGAAACATTTTGCTTGTTTCTCTGAAAACAAAATCACTTTTAAAAAAGAGAGATTTACTGGGGCCAGCGCTGTGGCGGAGCAGGTTAAAGCCCTAGCCTGCAGCACCATCATCCCAATTATGGGCACTGGTTCAAGTCCCAGCTGCCCCACTTCCATTCAAGCTCCCTGCTAATGCATGCCTGGGAAAGCAGCAGAGGACGGCCCAAGTCCTTGGGACCCTGCACCCATGTGGGAGACCTGGAAGAAGCTTCTGGCTCCTGGCTCCTAGCCTTAGATCAGCTAAGCTCCAGTCATTGCTGCCATCTGGGGAGTGAACCAGCAGATGGAAGACTCCTCTGTCTCTACCTCTCTCTGAAACCCTGTCTTTCAAATAAACAAAAATAAATCTTTGAAAAAGAGAGAGATTTATCTACCTCATAGGCAATTTTTAGACACAGTTAGCTCCTGGCTTACTTAAGGCTTTTTCACCTTCACAATGGTGTTAAAGTGATATACGCTGAGCAGCAATCAGACTTGGAATTTTGAACTTAGGTCTTTCTGTGGGCAGCAGCAATGGCTACAACTGCCCGTCAGCCCTGTGCTCATGCGGGCCAGAACTGACAGAATCCACACTCTGCAGTGTGCCATGTGACCACGCTACAGTGCGTGGTTAGGTGATAAAATTAATTTTCCACATCCAGTGTTTTCAACTTAAAATGAGTTTCTAAGCGTGTAACCCCCTCTTAAGTCAAGAAGCATCTGTGTAATTCCTACAAACTCATAATATGTAATGTTTTTTTTCTACTGTAATATTTGAGAATTCAGAACAGTTCTTTGGTTTAAAACCCTTACCGTGACCAATAACAAAATCAGCCAACATACTCATGAGGTGGGTGCGCCCAGGAATACTACACATCATGTGTCTGTGTTGTGATTGATGATGAGGTCACAACTTTTCCCAGCCAGGTTTCACCTGACAACAAGAGGCCCAGCACGGGGGGAGGCTCCTGGACCAGGTCTCTGGAGCAGGGGCACAGGATGGACAGCACTGGCAGCAGGGTATCTGGGGTGCCAGGCCTTGGGCCCGGCTGAGAAACAGTGTTGTGAGCTGACAGCAGCCACAGCCACAGCAATGCTGCAGGATTAAGCTCCAGAAAACAGCACTCTCTTTGATCCTGCAGCCTTGGCTACATAACAGCTTCCTCAGTTCTTTGGGCCCCTTGCTCACTTTCAGTCCTCTGGCCTTTCCAACACTTTGGGATCAAGTTGCAGAATATACTCTCCTCTTTGTCAAACACAGAGTGGTTTCTATTGACCACTGTGCTCCCATTGCAGTCATGAATCTTTCCATATCATGAATAGCCTTAAAACTGACAGGACAGAAGGGAATAGATTCACCAGTTTATTCTCAATCATCAAAGACTTTCTCTAAGGCAAAACTCTCTAAAATTCACCCACGTATTCCCATTCCAAACAGGGGGCCTGGCACACAATAAGCAATCAATTAAAGTTTGATGCATCAAATAAGTGGGAGTGAAGCTGCCTCTGCAAACATCTTCTTCCCAAGGGCTAAAGTATTCAATGAATTAGTCAAGCAGGAAAGCAAAACAGACAGAGAACTTCAACACAACCCCTAAATCAAAAATAGAGATTCTAGTGGGTAAAGCCACTGCCTGCAATGCCAGCATCCCACGCATGTACCAGTTCAAGTTCCGGCTGCTCCACTTCTAATCCAATACCCTGCTCATAGTATGGAAAAAGTAGCAGAAGATGGCCCAAATACTAGGGTCCCTGCCACAACACACCTGGGAGACCCAGTTGAAGCTCCCGCTCTTGGCTTCAGCATGGCCTAGTACTGGCAGTTGTGGCTATCTGGGGAGTGAACCAGTAGATGTAAGATCTGTCTCTCCCTCTCTCTAACTCTGACTTCCAAATAAATAAATAAATCAAAAAAACAAACAAGGGGCTACGCTGTGGTGTAGCAGGTTAAGCCAATACCTAAAGCGCCAGCATCCCATAGGGCACTGGTTCCAATCCTGGCTGCTACACTTCCAAGCCAGCTCCCTACTAATGCACCTGGAAATTAACAGAAGACAGCCCTTGTGCTAGGGCCCCTGCGCTCACGTGGGAGATCAAATGAAGCTCCTGGTTTCAGTCTAACACAGTCTTGGCCATTGTGGCCATTTGGAGAGTGAACCAGTGGATGGAAGACTTCTCTCTCTCTCTGGCTCTGCCTCTTCCTCTCAGTAACTCTACCTTTCAAATAATAACCTTTAAAAAAATAAAAACCAGAGATTCCATGTGCACTGAGCTCCACCCAGCATGGTTTACTACCCACTGTGTTGTTCTGTTCTTCCACACACGAGCAGCCCAAGGTGAAACTGAGCCCTGTAGAGATCCTTTGATGCAGCTGCTAGAAACCAGCAGGTCCTAGTCTCTCATGGTCTCCTTGCCTCCCTCCCTTAGCTTAAAGTCTCCTTGTCCTTCTCTCCCTAAAATTAACTCACTAACCTGAGGGAGTATTGTGCAGCTGACCCTGCAAGGTCCATGAATACAAGACTCTTGGGGTTATTTATCTCCCCTACAGAGAACATCCTGAAGTTCAGTCTTGTCTTGAAGGTCTTCTTTTCCAGCAATCTCTGGCTCCAAGCAAAAAATAACTCCTACCTGCACACATGCCCCCAGACTAACTGGTGTCCATTTTACCATCATCAACATTCACTAAAGGACACAACATTGCTGGCCAACTGAAGGAGGGCCAAGAGCACTGCAGACCCACCAAGAACTTGGACGTGACCTGGATATGCACTTCTCAGCCCCAGCCTCAATCTATAAGAACTTTTACTCCTGACCATTCAAGGAGCCCAGGAATTAAGACACTGCCTGGCCCTCTGTTCTGTGCTTTGCAATGAACACCTCGTCAGTGATTACTTGGTGTACACTAGATGAGCAGATCCAGTTTTGGGGACTCTACTGCAATTCCTCCAACCAGTTTTGGGCATGTGCCATGGCAATGTCTTTTTGGGTACCACTGCCCACTGCTTTTTCCAAGGATACTATCCCCTGAATCTGTGCAGGTGCTTCCCCCAAGGCTGTCAAAGAGGTTGATAACTCCCTAAGCACAGTTTCCTACTCAAACTCACATAGAAAATAAGTACCTTCAAAAAAGAAAATAATCACTAAGGTAATTTCCTCCAAATATCCAAACTTACATGGAGAAAACAACAAAGTAAAAACAGATACTTGGATTCAAATAGTACAAAGTTCTCACTTTACAATAAACACAGAGTACTACACATAAACCGTTGGAGAGGCCAGCACTGTGGTGTAGCGGGTAAAGTCGCCACCTGCAATGCCAGCATCCCATATGGAAGCCAGTTCAAGTCCCAGTTGCTCCACTTCCGATCCAGCTCTCTGATGTGGCCTGGGAAAGCAGTAGCAGATGACCCAAGTCCTTGGGCCCCTGCACCCATGTGGAAGACCCAGAAAAAGTTCCTGGCTCCAGATCTGGAAGAAGCTCCTGGCTCCTGCCTTTGGATCGGTACAACTCCGGCCACTGCAGCTAATTGGGGAGTGAACTAGCAGAAAGGAAGACCTTTCTCTCTCTCTCTCTCTCTGCCTCTCTTTCTCTCTCTGTGTAATTCCAACTTTCAAATAAATAAAAATAAATAAATAAATAAATATTTAAAAAACAAACAAACAAACAAACAGTTGGAGTCCATACTTCTGACTTGGCTCTGATGAAGGGGTGTTAAAAAGGATGGTTGAAGGTGATGGTTTTCAAAAATTTACTTGACTGTTAACACACAGTTAGAAACAAGAAATGTGTTTCAGGTCTTCAAAGAAGGAGGTACCTTTCTCTGAAGGGAGGAGAGAACCTCCACTTTGACTATGACCTTGTCTAAACAAGATAAGAATCGGAGAACTCAGAGGGCTTCCATAGCCTTGGAAACTCATGACTGGAGCATAGGGAGATTACTGATGCCATAGACAGGAGTGTCAATTGGTAAAGTCAACAACAGGAGTCACTGTGCACTTACTCCTCATGTAGGATCTCTGTCCTTAATGTGCTGTGTATTGAGATTTAATGCTATAACGAGTACTCAAACAATATATTTCACTTTGTGTTTCTATGGGGGTGCAAACTGTTGAAATCTTTACTTAATGTATACTAAACTGATCCTCTGTAAAAAAAAAAAGAAAAAAGAAAAAAGAAATTATCAACTCCCAACTTGACTCTCACTGGGATTAAACATGACAATAGGTCTGATCTGATTTCATCATCATTTAAAAAAAATCATCTATTATTTTTCACTTTATGTTTCTGTGTGGGAGCAAACTGTTGAAATCCTTACTTAATGTATACTAAGCTGATCTTCTGTATATTAAGATAATCGAAAATGAATCTTGATGTGAATGGAAGGGGAGAGGGAGTGGGAAAGGGGAGGGTAATGGGTGGGAGGGACGGTATGTGGGGGAAGCCATTGTAATCCATAAATCGTACTTTGGAAATTTATATTCATTAAATAAAGTTAAAAAAAAAAAAAAGAAATGTGTTTCACACTGCAAACATTTGTATGTGTTTTCTTTGTGGGTGTATGGTTGTGTGAGTACACAACCGGAACAAAAAATTAAAAAAAAAAAAAAACACTTAACTTTATGATATATGATATATTCTACTTCATCAATATTCTATTATTTACTTTATTTATTTGAAAAGCAGAGAAACAGGAAGGGATAGACAGAGACCACACACCCACTGGTTCCTTCCCCAAATACTTGCAACATCCAGGACTAGACCAGGTCAAAGCCAGGTCAACCTGGGTTTCTGACACAGTTGACAACGAGCCAACTACTGCAGCCATCACTTCTGCCTCTCAAGAGTTTGTATTTGTAGGAAGATGGAATTAGGAGTGGGGCTGGGATTAGAACTCAGGCACTCTGATATGGGATGCACGCATCCAGAGTGGTGTCTTAACTGCTATGTCAAATGCTCACTCCAATATCCTATCATTTTAAAATGCTGGTTATGCTCTATTAATTGGTTTTACAAGCCACTGTTCCTGGTTTGCTGCTTAAAAAAACAAACAAACAAACAAACAAAAAACCATGTTGGTGCTCAAGCTATATCATCAGAAAAGTCTATTACAGCAAAGAATCTACTCAACATTATGTTTGCAGCTTTTATCAAAGGTTTATATAAGAGACAAGATGAAGAAAAATGTTTCTATACCTTTCTAAAAGTGTTATCAAAAAGAGAACATCATACTAGCTAATGTTGGCTATTCAAATATCAATGCCCAGTGTTCATGCACTTGTTTATTCATTTATTCATTGTATCCTGAAAAAAAATGAGTCCCTAAGCTTGGCAGTGGGGACATAATGAAAAAAAAAAAAAAGACACAGGTGTTGCCTGCAAATAATTCATAGTTACCTAGAAAATATGAAATTAGATAGGCAACTAAATGATAATAGGTTGTATAATATGCTCTGAAAGTACATTAGAAAGGCATTAAATCCAGATTTGAGTTGCTAGACTGGGCTACAGGCTTCCAGAAGTAAATAAATGATGGCTATACTGAGTACAATAAATAAGAAGGAACTAGATAGGCAGAGAGTTGGAGCAGAGGAACAATGCTATGTAAAGACCACAGATGCCACATCTTAGCAGGATGGGGGAAATAGTGCCTCTGAGAAACTGAAACAAGTTCTGTACAAATTCCTTCAGAGGAGTGCGCAGATGAGGCTAGAAAGATAAAACCACAAATCCACGATTATAAGGGTTTTGGCTGCCTTGATAAGGAGAGGGACTTTATCCTCAAAACAATGGGAGAAGATCAATTCCAAGCCAGGATATCAAACAATGGGAAAAACTTTCACTCTGCAGTCAAAGAATCTGGATAAAATCCAGATCACTTTTATTTATGGACCTGTCAGAGAAGAAGGTGCCAGGAGGCCTAGATGAATGAATTTCTGGTGAGAGGAATTCCTTCTAGGTGAGCAGCAATATTCAGGGGCAAACTGGGACCCAGACAGGCAGCGGGGAGAAGACCTGCTAGAGCCTTAGCTACAAGGCAGAGACCTGGGCAGCCCCAGGCAGGCTGTGGATAAGGTACAGCAGGAGAGCTTAGCGCCCAAGTCATCTTGACCCTGGAGGAAATGTGAACGATCACTTCCTCTTCCCAAACACCGAGACAGAGGGTTCACATTCTTGGGGGAAAACAAAGGCCAGGGAATGGCACTTTGAAGGACTCGAAGCAGGAGAGCATCATCTACTTTTGGCAAAGTCCTTCTGAATACAGCATGGAGAACAGCTTGGATGGAGTGAGTCAGGAAGCAGGAAGAGCAGGAACCCACACAAGAGACAACAGGGATCTCTATAAAACTACTGGAGGTGGAGAAACGTATTAGTGGAAGAGACACGCAAGAGGTAAAACTGGCAGGACTTAGCAATTCAGTGGATTGCAGGGTCTTGGAGGAGAAGAGCAGAAAGACTAGGGGTGGATGTACAGAGTCCTGGGATAGGAACCTGCACACCCTCAACCCTTCCCCGGGAGAGGGACACTGCTGGAAAACTGAATCAGGGGCTGAAAGTCACAGGCGACAAGCTCAGGATGGGAGGCGCTGAGTGTGATGTGCCTGTGAATCACCTGAGCAGAGGCGTCCTTTGGAAAGTGGGGTACAAGTCAGAACTTGAGGAGGGGATTCTAGGCTGGAGACAGAGGTCTGGGTGCATGCAGCATCAAGCCATGGGGTGGATAAGACCACCCAGGGTAATTACTGAGTGAGAGGAGAAGAGAGACAAGGAACGATGCCTGACTTGTAAGCGAGAAATGAAAAGAACTAGGAAGGCATGACCAGAAAGACAGGACCAATCAATGGTGGGATAGTGCTACGGAAAGCTACAGAAAGAAGGTCTGAGTCAACAGTCAGCTTCATCAGGGGCTGCCCAAACGCGGACTAACACAAAGACTGGAAATGTTCCATTGGGTTTGGCCCCTGTGAGGTCACCAGGGACCCCAAGTGAGTGTGTGGCTGAGGGGATGGAGATGTTGTGAAGGGGATGTGGGAGATGCCATGGTGTGGGCAGAAGTTTAAGGTGGGAAAACTAGACATGGTGGGAAATGCCCAGTGGTGAGGCTGAAGGTGCCTCCTCTGGGGTTCAGCAGGGCCTGCTATCAGCACGAGAAGAGAGAGCAGGGACAATGTCCCAGTGGATCTGCAAATTTGACAGCAGTCAGTGAGCTCCTGCAGAGAATAGGCCATGGGGCCTTCACCTGTGCATTTCAAGTGCCTGGCACGCACTCGGCCAGCCAAGAAAATGAGCAGCCTCCTGGAGTAATGAGAGGCGATGCTGGAAAGGTAAGCTTCTAAACTGAGGTTTCAGAAGGCCAGTCTCAGATCTACCAGCTGAATCCTACAGGCGAGAAAGACAACCAAGCACTTCTCCTGTACTTCTATGTTCGAAGTATATGAACACCACCATGCTGCAAGATATATAAAACCACATACAGATGCCAGGACCCCTTTCCAAAGTGGAATGCCCTTGCTGAATAAATGCCATACCTTATCCTTCATTGGCTTTGACATCTCACCCAGAAAAGAAAATGCTTTACTGTAAGACTGCAATCAGCCTAAGTCTTATTTCAACGAAGATGTCAACACTCTCTGGCCCTAGCCGGTAGGGTCTTTTCAAAGTCCTCTCTGGATCCCCATCTGCTATTGCTAATGACCTCAGGGGGACACATGCCTGGCTCAACAAAGATCAGCAGCTCTGCTCAGGTTTGGTCATCTCCACAAAAGAACCACCTGTATAACCAACCACTCATCCAGACCAACCCAGAACACCTGCAAGCTGACACCAGGGCTCCTGCAGTAAGAGCTGTTCTAATCCAGGGGATTCTAAAGAGGAATATAAAGCCTTAGCCCTTTAGAAGTTCATAATTCAGCACCTAGAACATTGCCCAGTACACAGTGGATGTTCAACAAACATCTGTTGAATGAATGAGTATGAGGACTCTTCAAAAAGTTCATGAAAAATACACGTTGCAAAAAAAAAAAAACCTTCAAAAATTTTTGTACCAAACTAAACTTATCTTTAAATTCCATTTTTTTCCAAAAGTTTTTTCAAGTAACCTCATAATTGACAAGATTCTCCCTTAAACACGTCAATAGTAAAGACTCCAGAAATAATAGAAAACACCAGCTACTACATTGATTTGCCCATATAAATCAAATTAAAAATCTTTCCCCATAAGGGATTAGGCAGATGTTTCATTTAAAAACATTGATTTTTAACTGTTATTTAAAACCTATAAATCCTACACAAATATTATTTAATTGCCTAAGCCCAAGCTTCAATATCACTCTTTTCCCAAATGTGATTTATTAAGCACTGGATAATTTAAAAGTTTAATGGCTTATTCTCTGAAATTAAAATCTATATCCAACTTTTTCCCATTTAAATAGAGAATCAAAACCAGTTGGCAGCCTAGAAGCAATCACGTTATAAGAGCACTTCTACCAAGTAGGTTGGCATACATCTTCAGATTGTTTCAAGAGGTAGAATATTCTTTACTATGAGTTCTTCTCACATTATACAAACACGATGCTCATTTTCCTATTATGCTAACAGGTGCCATGTACAGAGCACTCACATTTCAGTATAGATCCCAATGCCACAGACACCTCCACCTCACACAGAGGGAAGTTTCATATTCAAAGTATAGTCAGCCCTCCGTATCCATGGGTTCTGCATCCATGGACTCAACCCACCACGGATTGGAAATATTTGAGGAAAAAAACGCATCTGGACTGAACATGTACAGACCTTTCTGCATTGACATTATTCCCTAAAAAACACAGTCAGCCACTATGCACATTGCATTAGTCATGACTAGAAGTCAACTAAAAGTAAATTAAAGCATACAGGAAGGCGTGTGCAGGCTACCCATGTCATATGAAGGACTTTAACACCTGCAGATTTCGGTATCTTCCACGGGTCCTGCACTCATACCTACCCTCCTCCTCCTGTGACGTAGCTGTAGCCACCGGTGCCCAGGCCATAGCCATAGCGTTCTCCCAGAAACACTGGTTCACTGGGGTCATAACAGCTAAGCAAGTGCTGGAGCCTGGAGATACTAGAGGAGACAAAAGGAACAGTTACTTAACTCAAATGTGGTTTCACAATCAATATGCCACAGTCCTTATACCCCACTGTTTATTTCATGCAGTACTACACTGAAATTGTTTACAGAGGAAATTCAATTGATGTTTAAAAAAAAAAAAAAACACGAGAGACAGAGAGAGAGAGAGAGAGAGAGAATGAATGCATGGATATCATATATCATCAGACTGGAAGAGAAACTGAGAAGTGGCTTTTCCCAGCTTTGAGCAAGCCCCACCAGAACATGGTTGTCTAATCTGGGTAGGCAGGGTGCAGGTGACTGAGGCAATGGTGCCCAGTATGCTGTAGACCTCATGGCTACCCAGCCTTGTTTTCAAGAAAGTATGAACAAATCTTTACCTCTCAGATGGAAATCAGTATTTTTTTTATTTAAAGATTTATTTATTTATTTTGAAAGTCAGAGTTACAGAGAGAAAGAGAGAATCTTCCATCTGCTGGTTTACTCCACAGATGGCCACAACAGCCAGAACTGAGTTGGGATGAAGCCAGGAGCCAGGAGCTTCATCTGAATCTCTCACGTGGGTGACAGGGGCACAAATACTCGGACCATCCTCAACTGCTTAGCAGGGAGCTAGATCAGAAGTGAAGAAGCCAAAATACAAACTGGTGCCCATATGGGATGTCAGCATCACAGGCATGCGGCAGCTTTATCTGCTATGCTACAACGCCAGCCCCAGAATCAGTATTTTAAAAAAAAAATTCTTCATGGCCAAAGAAGGAGCTGCTAGCAGTGCAAATGAGTTGGGGTGGAGCAGCCCACGTCAGGCACCTGGCTGGCAGGTGATAGAAAGAACTGGGATCACGAGGCTTTTCTGGAAATCTTCAGATTGTGCTGCACAATACCTTTATTTCCCTTAAAAGGCCACTTCCGTGCACGCACTTCTGTTCTCTATTATACCTTTGGGCTCTAACCATCTCTGTCATGTGTCACTCAGGACAGCTTGCAAAGTGCTGTGAGAACATCCACCAGCTAGGCAGAACCCTGCCTACAGCTGAGGTAAGGCCGGGGAAAGAAAGAGTTCACAGGGAAGTAAAATCTAGAAATACTTGTGAAGGAAGACACAAATGTTCACACTAAGAAAGGCTAGTTTTTCTTTGTTTAAAAGACATATACAGGGCCGGCACTGCGGCACAGCAGGCAAGGCCACCGCTTGCAGTGCCGGCATCCCATGTGGGCACCAGTTCAAGTCTCGGCTGCTCCACTTCTGATCCAGCTCTCTGCTATGGCCTGGGGAAGCAGTGGAAGATGGCCCAAGTCCTTGGGCCCCTGCACCCAAGTGGAAGACCCAAAAGAAGCTCCTGGCTCCTGATCAGTGTAGCTCCAGCCATTGTGGCCAATTGGAGTGTGAACCAGCATATAGAAGTTCTCTCTCTCTCTCTGTCTTTCAAATAAATAAATAAATCTTAAAAAAAAAAAAAAAGAAAAAATACCATTTAGCAATGCCTTATAAAATTCTCCATTGCTTCTAATGTAGAGTTTTCCAGGTCACATACCACCAAGTCCGAGATGTCCTTATGATATTGATCAGCATTCCTAAAAAGACTGTCACTGACAACAATGTTGAGTTAAATTTTTTTAATGGGCTGAATACATTTTATATGTCTCTCAGGGCCTGTGGTTCACAGCATAATGAATCTCTGAGAGGTGGACGTGATATAAAGCATTTCTGTAATATTAATCACAAGATCTCTTCTCATTGAACAATGTTAAACACCCAGAACAACAGTGGTCTAGAGACTCATTTCCCCCTTCTCTGAGGGAGGGTTGGGTGAAAAGAAAGACATATAAAAAGAGATCACATTTTCCATGTATATTCATGTGCCTCACAAAGTATCCCAGTTAATAAAGCTAAAATTGAGAGTGAAGAAAACAAATTTAAAAAAAAATCTCTGGTAAGTTTTGCTGCTCAGTCTCTAAATCTACCAATCAGGTTCCCATCTATCTGAAGGCTAAGGCCTCTGACAATGCTGACGACTTCCAAGTGACCACAGAACATTATTTCTGGCTAATATCCTGTTTTCTGCACACACGTTAAGCATTTTAAGCACCTAATCCAGAAGCAGTCCTCAGGAAATTATCCAATAAATCTTTCTGCAGGCAGGCAAGTAAGTGTGTGGAAACCATTTAGTGCTGGGGAATATACTCTTAAAGATCACTGAGCAAACTCAGCCTTCATTTGGGAAAAGCCCTGCAAACACTCTATGTTTTCTGGGACAAATGTGTGCTTTTTCTGGGCCTCAGAAGAAATGAGAAGTTCATGGTATTTCTCCTCCAGCATAGTGAAAAAGTATCAATTACCTGCAGCCTCCAGTATCTGTGAAGTTGAAATAACTGACATTTAAAATCTTCTCTGGATTTCTTTTCCTTCCAACACTGTTCATGTCCCTATTTGCAATATCATTTTAAAGCTTAAGGATCACAAACGGAATCTAACAATTAATCATATATATTGTAGATTTGCTAAAAAGTGGGAATGTGGCTGAAGCAGGTAAATCTTAGGTAGATCTAAGGGGATTTAACTCATGAACTAGAAAAAAAAAACAACTTCATTTTACAGTATGTTCCCATTATAGGCAATTCCGAGACACAGAAATGAAGAGAAAAACAAGATGGTACATCCTAGAATAAGTGCTATCAAAACTGTATTAGCCCATCTTAGTAACGCATATGAACAGATTAACATTGATCTTTAAAGTCCAGAAGATGATTCACCATAACATATATGGCATTTACTTTTTAACTTTTTATTTGGAAATGTTTTCAAGGTTATTGAGAAGTTGAAAGAAGAGTACAGGTTGAGAATCTCTAATCCAAAATGCTTGGGACCAGAAATAGTCCAGATTTCAGAGTTTTTTGGATTTTGGAATATTTTCACATACAGAATAAGATATCTTGGGGATAGGACCCAAGTCTAAACATGCAACTCATTTATACACATTGTCTGAAGTTAATTTTATATAATGTTGCTCACAGTTTCATGGTATTAAATTTTCCAGTTGTGCCTTTGTGTTGGTGCTCAGATAGAGTTTTGGGTATGGGAGCATTTCAGATTTTATATTTAGACAGGCTCAACCTGTACAAAAAACTCTTACATACTCTCCCCAAATTTACCAATTTTTAACATTTACCCCCATTTGTTCTCTCTTTCTAATATATATACACACCTACATAATATGTGTATATGTGTACATATATAAATATTTTTCCCTTTTCTGAAATATTTGTAAGTTGCATATATTTATATTTCCTTCTCCCTAAATATATCAAAGTATATTTCCTATGAACAAGAAGAGTTAGAACTTCAGAAAGCTTAACATTATATCATAAGTTTCATTAAAAAATTAATTTATTTATTTGAAAGACAGAGGGACAGAGAGAGAAAGAGTGAAGAAAGAGAGAAGAGAGAGATCTTCCATCCATTGCTTTACTACCCAAACAGCCAGGTCTTGGCCAGACTAATGCCAGGATGCTGTCCCAGCATCACACAAGCAATACCGCGTGTGGCTTCCCCAATGGACAGTGATTCCATATCCCCTGCTATTTCTAACAGTCTTTGGACAAAGAGTTCAATACATGCAAATACCCTGGTCATCAGCCCAATAGACCCCTAGTTAGCAGACACTGATGACTCTTGCCTGAACTGATCTTTATGATGGCTACAGTGCTGATTCTTCCAACTCCATCACTCCCTGCACATTTAGCACTGAGAACTCATCACTGCCCCCTATTTATTTGTCTATTAATTACAACCAGGAAGTCTTTAATTCCTAATTTTCAGTAGTTCATAATTCATTGTTGCCAAAGTTGGACCTTAGGAACCCATTTAAGTTTACATCTTTGTCCTCTTGACATGCACTTATCTACTTCCTTTCATTCCATTTTTTTGTCCACTTCTTTACTTTCTGGTATAAAATGATGATCTACATGCAGCCAGTACCTTCTCTGCCTCAGCCCTGGCATTATCTGCTTTGCAGAGAGACCCTGGTTTCTTACAGCAGGGGAAAGAAGCATTATTGGTTCTAGGTAACAGTTTCTGCTGCTGTTGGGACATCATCGCTTTTATCCTCTCTCTGGGAAATGTGTGTGAACACACACACACTTTAGACTCATGAGTTCTCACAGATTCCTCAAATCTGCATCCACTCCCAAAGGCCTCTTGTTTGACTCACCCCATTCTATATCTGTATGTCTGTTCTTCCAAGTCCAGAACCCTGCCTTGCCAAAATATTAGCATTTATTCAATCCTATACCTCACTGAATAGCTTCGCCCACACCACTTCAAAATCAGACCCACCAAAATTTCAGGATTTGTTTGAAGCTCCTCCCTCTTCCCGAAGCTGACTGAAGGTACATATTTAAATCTTGTCTTCAAAAGTCACTTGCAGTGCATAGTTTACCTCCAGATACTCTCCCAAAGCCAAAACCACATTACTGGGGCCGCTGTTGTGGGGTAGAGGGTAAATCTGCCACCTGGGATGCTGGCATCCCATAAGGACACTTGTAAGTGTCCTGGACACTACACTTCTGATCCAGCTCCCATCTGATGTGCTGGGAAGGCAGTCGAAGATGGCCCAAGTGCTTGGGCCCCTGCAACCCATGTGGGAGACCTGGAAAAAGCTCCTGGCTCCTGGCTTCAGTCTGGCCTAGTCCCAGCTGTTGCAGCCATTTGGGGGAGTGAACCAGCAGATAGAAGATCTTTCTTTTCTCTCTTTCTCCCTTTCTCCCTTCCTCCCTTCCTTCCTTGTCTCTCTAACTCTGATTTTCATATGAATAAACCTTAACAACAACAACAACAAAAAAAACCCTAAATTACCATATGATCTGGTAATTCTATTTCAGAGTTATACCCAAAAGAATTAAAAGCAGGTTTTCATGGAGCTATTTGTACATTCAAGTTCATGGCAGCATATGATCATAAAAGTTAACGCATAGAAGCAACCCAAGTGTCTATC